ATGAATGTATGCGTGTATTATATATATATATATATATTGATATTGAAAATCTTATGCTGATCTATTGGTATCTTAATGTGTATATAAATGCATATTCCTACATATGAATATATGCTGAATAATCATTCTGTAGGTGGGGATGAAACCTTACACCACACTCATTCAGAGCGATCGATGTCTCTAATCATGATGGGCGCAATCTTATACAACCAAACAGATTGTGCATCTAACAAAATAGAATTTGAATATTACCTTTTTCGTTGGTACAAACGCTGCAATATTGGTGTCCTTGCCACCTGAGATTGAAAATTTGTTGACACCCTCGAGATGCAACTTGCGCAGAATGCCGTTCTCCATGTTGTTCAAGTCGAAAAATTGAATCGTGTTTGTAACTGTCTTCCCGAATAGTAGACCATCTGGACTGACAGTCGGTGTCCACTCATCCCCGCGTTGTACAGCGCTAAACATTGGTTTTGTCGCGTCGTCTTCCTTTTTGGAAATTCTCCAAACCTTCAGATTGTCTTTGCCTACATGATTCTTGTCGGTCTCGTATCTTGCGTATGTGAACAGTACAGTGGAAGTAGGAGAGAAGAAGATTTTATTGACATTTGGATGTCCAACCTCCATCACCACACTCCAATCCTTGGACGATACAATGAACACCTTTCCAGACGCAGAGTATGCTATGTAAGCACCATTAGGGCTCCATTTCATACATCTTATCTTACACGTTGCCGGAAGACAGGTGTCATTGTCAGCGCCTGCTCGACGTAGAACTTCCAAGCCATCGATAGAGCGACAAGCAAAATGCGGCACGTTTACCACTACCTCTGATTCTGTCATATTGTATTTAGAATGACTATGTTCACCCAACGAACGCGTTCAAGCTTGTTCACGCCCAAGCCCTATATAGGTTATATATGTTATTTGTGCATTTTGACATAGCCTTCATTTTTTTCAGTAGTCTATGATTTTGACAGGTAAATCAATCATGACACGGGTCACACGATATATCGCGTGCGCTAGATAATTTTTGGAATAATTTTTTTTGTTGAAAAAGCATACCAAATCATTATCAAACAGAGAAAAGGTTAGGGCAAAGAATAAGAATATAGCACGACAGAAAGGAGCCGAAAACCCCTAGTATTATTTTTTATATGTACAGTATTTTCATATAAAAACCGACACGTCTGATGAGCCTCTGAGAGTTGTTTTTTTTGGTGTGCGTATTTAAATAAGAAATAACGAGAGATAGTTTTATAGTGGTTTATTAACCCGCCCAACCCCCCTCCCCACCAAAAACGCAAACTCGCAAAAGTAAAACTATAAAACGCTGTTGTCGGTCCATAATAATAATATTATTATTAGTATTTTTAAAACTTAAATATGAATCGAATCATCACACACAAATTGGAAGGGTTTTATATATTTATTCAAAATTCTTATGTAAAAAAACAGGCAATAATATTTATATATAAAATATCATAGCCTTCTCAATTGCTCAAAAAAAAAAAATTTATATATACAAATACAAATACATATAAATTGTATATATAGATATATATAAGTATATATATATATAATATATAGTGAGAGAGTGAGAGAGAGAGAGAGAGAGATATATATATATATATATATATGTATCTGCAGTGGAGTTCCTGGTGTATGAAGCTCTCCCGCAACTGTGTAAGCGAACTAGCCCCATAGTCTGTCTTCGTTTTCAGCAGCCTTATCCCTCCTATATTTGTCGTATGCTCCATTGTAATAACTTTGTGCTTTGTGATTCGCAGTTAACCTTTCCTGATATACATGTATTGAGTTTTTATTCGATTTTGTACAGCTTTATTTTGGTAAGCTTGTCGCATGTTGCTCTATGATGCCAATTTGTGATACGTAATTAGGCTATTCTGCTACAGCCATATGTAGTTTGCGTTCGTTTGCTCAGTTGCATTATCCTACGCATGTTGCTTGTTGCTTTTATAATTGCATACGATAGTCTTGTGATTCGCGGTTAGTTCAGACTGATATACCTAAATATGTACTGTAATCACCCTTCCTCGACTTAGGGGTTTCCGATACACGCTTGTACTGTCTTATTTTTACCAATATTGGCAATACACGATGTTGAATTCTAAATACTGCTCTAGTGTATTGTACAAATCTGATTGTAGTGTATCCTCCATGGGTTGCTAATATTTGTCTCAATTTGAGTCAGCTAGTACTTATAAAGGACCTGTATACCTACATGAAATGTTTTTTCACGTTGAGCACTTTTACTTCCCTCACGTTTAATACTTTTACTGTCTTCTGCATGAACTTCAGTATAGTATATATTCATTGGTTCTCCAATACCACCAATACGACTACTAACATGTATCTCGCGTAATCTATTTCACTTCTCATCCTGTACACCAATTAATTACAGTTCTCGCACTTCCCACGGGTTGCATATGTGTGTCAGTCAGTACTCATGATTTACCTACACATGCACACGCTGTGTCCTGTATTCATCCATACAAGTTCGCCTCTGTCTCTTTGTTGCTAGCACATATCTTTCGCTTACGTTTATACGCTGTCCCTCGACGTTAATTTCAACCAATCTTCGGCGTTCTACTTAAAATTCTGCACACGCCATCCGACGCAACTACCGCCACAGCTCCGTCCACATAGAAACACAACATTATTTGTCTAAAGGGATCCTTATAAATATAGCTTCAACATGGCTGACGCGGTAAGTCTATATGTTTTGACTTCATTTGTTTCTCAGTTAAGTTGATATGCTTAATGTCGTTATGTTCGTCAGATGGCGTATTTTCCCTCGCTTTACTACGTACACTCGTGTTGGATTGGGTGGTGGGTGACACAAATGCCTTGGTCTTACTTATATTGAGCAATTCTACGAACAGGCCTCCGTAGTGCTCGGTCGTCCAACATTTATTTATGACATGTGCGTATGACCAAAAGGACCCCATTGTAACGTACTGCCGTTGGTTAGTTAGAACTATTTCAGTCGGCCTTTCCATTGCTAATCAGTTCACGTTTTCGTTACGCAGCCCAGCAATCTGTCCGCACAGGACCAAGAATTTCTAAAGAAGTTTGGCAGGCTTCCGCCAAAGAATAAGCTTGCACAGAAGAGGATGAACCGTGGTGGGGTATGTATTAGTAGACAATTATTTTAGACAAGTCACCTCTGAATATTGAAATGCGAATTGCATAAGTGATTTGGCTTTTGACCTATGTGGTATATGTACTATATCCACACATGCATATATATGTGAAAGCCCATATATATATATATATATATTTATATATGTGTGTGTGTATATATGTATGTATATATATATGTATGTATTTATGTTATGTATATACATGTATGTATTTATGTTTATATATGTAGTATGCATATGTATATATCTATATTCATATATATGTGTATACACATGATATATATATGTAGCATATATTTGTTTATATATATATATTCTATTTTACGGTGTATATGTTTGTATGTAGGTATATCTTTGTATATTTCCTTTTTTGTGTATACATATTAATATATATATAAATGTACATGTATATATATGTATATGTGTGTGTGTGTGTGTGTGTGTGTGTGTGTGTGTGTTGTGTGTGTGTGTATATATATCTATATCTATATCTATATCTATATATATATCTATATATATATGTGTGTGTGTGTGTGTGTGTATTTATATTTATGTTTGTATGTGTGTGTGTGTATCTATGAATATATATTTTTGTTTCATGTATAAGTATATATAAATATATATATGGGTGGGTGTGTATATTTACATATATATATGTATATGTGAATCTGAATTTGTACGTGAATACATCTTTACATCCATACATCCATCTATATATATGGGGTACATGTACACACTTATACTTTTGTAGATATTTACATATATATGTATGTTTGTATGTATGTATGTATGTATATTATATATATGTTTATAAATATATAAATAAATTGATGTATACGTTTGTATTGGTGTATATTAATTTAAATTACTTACATACGTATATATATGTATATATATACTTATACTTGCACTTCTACAGACAATTACCGGTATTTGAATTTACCATCACGTATTTGTATACAATACACATATACATGTACATAATGATGTATACATAGTATTTTATTCATTTATATCTATATATATATATACAATTGTACATAATTATATATATGTGTGCGTGTGTGTGCATGTATGTATATATGTAGGTAGGTAGGTATATATATATGTATGTATGTCGTAGTATCGTAGTATTAGATTTCTTATTGGGATGGTCTCATTTTTTTCTAGTTGTCATTGCAAGTCTTACCGAAGTCAAAAATATACTTAAAGGCGAATCTCTATCATACGTACATTTTGTTTGAATTTGCGATTTTTATTGCGCAGATTTCTTATATCGTATTCCTTATGTTCGTTTATCGTAATAGGAACGCAAGTACTTTGATTCTGGAGATTACGCTCTCAGTCAAGCCGGCAAGTCTCAGAACAAAGTTGGTCGAGCACTCCCCACACCAGAGACGATTCCTCATCATTCGGACAATGTGCAACCTAAGAAGCAGTCACATTTGTCTGAGAAATCTGGTTCGCTTACAAACCCTGATAAGCCATCTGATAGCGAGAAAAAAGCCTGATACATGCATTCAAATATTTGTATCAATACTACTAAAGCGGTTTGCTGCCGCCTATCTGCATAAAAGTCTATAGATAATTCTCGTCTCTTGCTTTTGGTTTTCACCTCATATCAACCATGGCTGAGTTGCGCATATTACACTGATGCGGCCGAAATCTAGTCATGAATGAATACGTGCACTGGATTTGGCAATTGGTGTCTCCGCGGATGTTTATAACCTTTTGGTGGCCATGTGTGATAAATTTTGGCCGTTGGATCGTTTCTGTTCCGGTGTTTTGTTCTGGAAGAAGAATTGCACATGGCTGCGGCGATATCACGATCAGTTAGTATGACATATTTGCACGTCCTTTCCTAAGTAACTATTCCGGTCAAGTAGAAGTAAGATTTATCTGCGGTATACGGGTGCGACATATTCAATACTGAGGAACATCGAGCTCACTTTTCAACCACTGCACGCTGCTTCAAATGATACAGTAAGGTCGATCACTTTCGCTTTTGATCAGTTAAACTCCCCTTGACATAAAATCTAGGTCATTGTAATGGCATCAATCGCATTAATCCACACTTTCGTCTTATTAGAAGTTGCTAGTCGCATTTGATACATTGCAAACAAAGATATCAGGGCAGACATTTCGTTTGAGATGAGAACATATCCGCGCAGGCACACAGCGGCCATAGCAGGCCGACCAAACCGAGCCAGTCGACTATCCATGTTTGGAACAAATCCGACCGGATATTCTTGGTCTACTTGTCTATCCGGAGGTGAGAACAAACCTAACCAAATCCTAATGATATATACTTTATAAAGAAGGTGTTGCTATATATATAGAACCTAACTACTAATCATAATCTTCGTCTTCGTCATACTCCTTCTTCAATAAGCTGGGGGCAGGCATGTGTGTTTGAGCTTCGGGGACGGTTGCTTCTGCGCCTGATACCGCAGACACCGTTCCTGCCGGTGTCGCAGCGAGGCTATTTAAAGATGCCGGTGCTGAGTCGTTTAGCGCCGGACCGACTTGACTGTCTGACCGTGCACGAGCCTAGTAGGATCAAATGGATAAAGCAAAGGATTGTTCGAAAACTGATGGAATGATAATTCCGATAGACATTAGATATATGTGCACACGCGTTTGAGTGTTTACTTAATTATCTTTGATTGGTAATCTTTGTGGAAGATGCATGGGAGTTAACGATACTTGAATCTAGCAAATGAAATAAATGCTGCAGAGAAAAAACTCGAGCAAGGCATACCTTTGCAAATAAGGCTCTTTGTTGTGCCAAAAGCTCTTCTGCTGAAACACCACTATGTTTTCCTTTCGCCTTCTTTTTACTTCGTATCTGTCAAGCAGTGTGAAAAGAGAAATAAAGATGATAAGCGGTACTGGTACATACTGTACGTGATAAATACCATGAGAACTCACGTTGAGAATCCAACTGGATGCTAGAGGTTACCCTGAAAAAAATCACGCTAGGAATTTCAGACACTCGTGCGCTTCAAATCGGGATGCACTCAAGAATCATAACTTGAAGACTCACCGTTTTCTCTTCTTTGTGATCTTCCAATACGCTGTTTACGTTGGCTAAATAGTGCTGGAAGCCTAAATTCTACAAGAATTGGGAAATGTCAGAACTTAAGTGTGAAGCTTTTTAATAATGTACCCCATTGTTACCCGTTGTCGCCTATTTTGAGGCACACAATCGATGAACGAGCAAATAGCGATCAAATGCTGAGGCAGGCGGTGAATATGGAATGGCAGACGCGCAGCTCGATATGGCAGTGAGCTCGATATGAAACAATAGTGCATTTCATTTGTTTTTATATTTGCATACCTTCAGCCCCTCTATAACATGATCAGGTCCTATCGTTTTCTTCCCGGATTGACCGCACACTTCATTCGACTCCGACGCGATTAAGTGGATGAATTCTACAACGAAGTATATTAACACGACATCATATAGTGTCCGATAGCTGAACAAATGCCCGCGCCGTATGCTAAATGGCGTCGTGAAGCCGTGTGTATGTGCTGTACAACGTTAGCAAGGCAAGCGATCTCGTGGAGGATGCAGGAGATTTTATCTTAAAACACACACATGCGAGTATAGAATTCCAACGTTACTGCTTAATCCAGACTGCGTCCGTACGCCCCCAATTAAACAAGCAAGTTACGACTATTTCTTACATTTATTGCACCATATATAATTTGACGAGTTCTTACCTGTACAACATTCTATTAGCAATTCCCGCGTTTCATTGCTTATTCGCATACCATTGGGCATCAACTCCTTTATAATCTTGTACACGGTTGCTGCCGTGTCAGTCATGCATAGAAAATGTAACAGATAAGTGGATAAGTTATCATTAACGGCTGCGTCTGAAATCTTGAATTCTCTCATTCTAGTGCTGCGTGCTGATATCCATGATCACAACAAATCTCATCAAAACTGAACATGAACATTCTTGAACAATATACGACGCTTCGAGCAAAAATAGATGCTTCCCTGAAACATTCGTAAAAAATAATTAACAGAGACACGAAAATATCTCAGTGCAACATATATAACTGAATATATATGTATATATATATATATATATATATATACATTCACACATACATACATACATACATACATACATACATATATACATACATACATACATACATACATACATACATACATACAT